TCTCTTTGCTGCAATAGTATTTCGATAAATAATTTTTTAACTAACCGTTATTCATGAATAGAGGTCACTACAATCAGTCTCATATATCTAGATTGGTAAGACAGTCAAAATTGAGTCGCAGAAATATTATAGTACTGCAAATTATTCACTTCGATAGTCAAATATGGAAAGATCAAATATAAAAATATAAAATCATTTCAAGTTTTAATTTTAAAATATCTCTAAAAAGTCTTATTAACTATATATTTTGTTAAGTATGTAGTTTATTCGATATCTTCTGTCCCAAATAAAATCATTTATAGAAAGTAATAATTTGGTTACTCCATGCTTTCAAATATTCCTAATTTTTTCGGAATTGTTCTATTCCTTATTACATAAACTATATATATAAATAAATACCTATCGCAATCCTCAAATAAAATTATTTATGATGTCGAATTACCACTTAACTCTTTGTGTTCTATTAGCTTATGTGCTTCTATATATCACAGATAATATGTATCACTGATTTAACGTCTTTTGTTTGCTGTCTGGTGCCTGTAAAATGTTTTATAGATCCCTTAAAACGACGAAATCAGTGAAATTCAGTGAATACAATTTTATATAAATATTGCATAACAAAAAATAAAAGAATATTGCTTAAATCAAAACTACTCATTTCCTTTTTAAACTGCGCCCCAATATCTAATGAGTAAGTGCATCGATATAAGACAGTTTTTAAACACAAATGAGATGAACCTAGTAATCTTTGACTCACAAAAAAATAATTGGAAAGATAAAAGGAAATCGAATATTTTATTATATGCGATACATTGTTTTTAATGATAAAGATATCAAATTTAATTTACCATAAAAGATATAAATAATTATAAAGTCATTCCATCGTAAATCTGTCGCATTTTATCGTTGATGATCGTCGAGCAAAGCACCGTCCACAAAGAGAGCAACTCCATGACAGTGTCTACTATCACCATACTGTCAATGGATAGCTCTCTTCATAGCGCATGCCTTTTGTCCTTCATTCTCCATTTAAATCTCTCCCTGTTTGCATCTAATTACCTAAAACTATTACATTTTATAAACAATATTCATCGTATAATTTTCATTATACAGTTAGACTACACTATAGACGAAAAGATTTCGGAATTAATTGTACCGTTCTCAATGATATAATCATCACTCTAAAGTGACAAAGTCCTATTATGTACGTTATAAATTCTCAAAATGTCGCTCGTATAAGAAAAAAAATTAGATTTGCACAGAGTATTCATATTTTATCGAACGTTAACCGAGGGGATCCGGATATTCGAGAGAAAACACTGAAAGACAGAAAGTGGTGGAATATAGCATGAGCATAGCAGCTTTGCTTGTTATCAGGGAGGTGTGAGCAACTTCTTCCTCTTTAGCGCCGCCACCTGATTGCGCGGTAAACATAACCTCCGTGCATTAGCTCGTGCCACGAGTCGTTAACACTTCCTTTTCTTCTTCATCCCGATGCGTTTATTTAAATGTTCAAGCCTAGAAATACATTAAACTGCAAATCAATATTTAATCGAGTGAACCGTTCAAAGATAACAATATAATCTAAAAATAGATTTCAAATAATGCCAACACATATGATACTAAAGGATCGAACTCTGAATTGATCGATAATTCTATCAATTCGAGATAAGTTTGAATAATTCGTTACCGCGATAATGGTTATCAGATTCTACATAATTGGTGAAAAATTAATCGTGACTATTTCGAAGATATCTTATAATCAAAAAAATCTTTAAAAAACCAATAATTCTTTAACAATGAAAACATAACTGAGAATTTAATTAAACGATATTGAAATAATCGAATCATAAATGATCGATGCGTCTGTAATTATGTTTGTAACTATATATCGGCAATAATTGACAAATGTCAACTATTTCCCAAAACGAATAAGCACGAGAACTTCCCTAAGATAGTGCCATAGACTCGAGACTTCTATTTATTCAGTTGACATTTTTACTGACTCTGTGCAACTGCTTAAACAGACAGATATTTGGTTGTAGTGGAGCTGTTTCATTGCATTTATAATATATATATGTACTTTCCAGTATCTTTCTTTCCTTTTTTTTATCACATACATGAATTTCGCAGCCAAATTATGATCATTACAAATGTGCCATGTCTTACCACAGAGCACTTATATTCATATGAATTAAAACGTAATCTATAATTAAACATTTTATGATATACGATAATGCCATAAAAAGTTTTGTACGCAACTTTTAACTACTTACGGAATACTTGAAAATCTCATAATCATGTCATACCTTAAACACGTTTGCGTAACATCATAACAAAATTTATGCTTTTCCTCGTTATTTCGCTATACAAAGGAAATCTAGACAAAGTTGCATAATGAAACGTTCCGCGGCTTGAATAATTGCCGTGGCACATATCATATTCTTATTTTTTAATTCTCTTCTATCGTGTATTCGAAGAATCAATAAAAAACACACATTTAATAAATCTGACGACAAATATCGAATATCAGCTTTGAGAGAGGCCAACGATTACACGTTATCAGTAGACGATGCGATAAAAACGATAACGAGTTGACTCGCAGAGGTATTACCGAAAATCCTTCTGCTGAAGGATTTTTCTGTTTAGTTTCCAAGCAGCCAGTGTAATCTTAAAATGTGACAATAAAAGAAATTGAGAACTTTGATTGCTTTCGCACTATATCTCGAAATAAAAAATTAACTAAATTTGTTGCTCGTTTTCTGAAAATATCCTAAAGAAAATTATTTTCGACAAGATAAATAAGAATAAAATCAAACGTTACACTGGTCCTCTTTGTTTCATTGATACCTATTTACCAAGTTTAATGAGTTTCGCGTTATCTTCTTAATTGCACACCTATTTGCGAAAAAGCATAGTTTTATTAACGTGCCAACATGCAAAATATCCATCGTGTTCTACTCGAAGATTGTACATTAAAGAAGCCCATGGTTATATAATTTCGAGATTTTTCGATCCTGATATTATAACCATCTAAACAAATACAGGGCACATTTAACTTTATTATCACGGTAATCGTAACAATTTCATTATCAACGCCAACGTGTCTTCTGGCATGCTCATCAATTAAAGTAGCTATAATTAACTAAACAAATATCAACCCAGGTCCCTTAATCTGATATAAGATCCAGCTCGATGTTCTTTGTGATATTTATGAGAATATCGTCATCACGATGAAAATGCGAAATCTACAAATAGTGACCAAGATTTCGTAACGAACAACGTTTTCGTTTAGAAAACGACGAACTCAATGTCACGGAACGAATATCTCGTACATCTGAAAAATTCAACAGCGTTATTAGAGTCATAAAATATTTCATTAGCAATACTTGTATGTTACATAGTTATTATTTCATGCGCAAAACCGACGTCGTGTATTCTCTAGTAGTATTATAATTATATCCCTGGAATTTACACATGAAAAGGCCACGATATGTAGAGTTCCAGCTGTAAGTACTTGAGGTCGTAGGAAATCCAGTGCCAATGGATATAAGCGACTCTGACGAAATAAAACTTTCCATTTTTCTTTAAAATTCTCTATACAAACAGTCCTTGTATGCGTTCACCGATGGGTTTAATTGTTCGATTTTTGTTACAACGATTGAAACTGTAAGAGCCCCGAAATAATCTACTTTGAGAGAAAGTTCGTGGCGACTCAACGACTTACCTGCTCGGTACCCCTGGTCCCAAAATCATGAATGCCTCACGCTAGACTTCCGGATGAACATACATTCCGTTCAAAGTTTCTTTAGATGCACGTCATTGTGTAACAAAAAAAAAAAAACCAAAAACCAAAATGGCGCAATGAACTGACGAAAAAGATAACGTATTATCTATGAACAACCCGCAGATACAACTTGCAGAACAAACGAACGAAGAGGTTCAAGAACGAGTGACGTGGATGTCTCTCTGGCCCGACTCATATACTCTACCTGCGGTGATCTGACGTCACGGGTATGCTTCTTATCAGGTAGAAGCGCCAACACCTGTAAGCTCGCACCTGTATGCTTGAGCTTAACGCCGATGGGAACGCCCCAAGCTGAATTTTCCTACCAAAAAGATGTTTCTGTACTGGAAAACTTTCTACTAGCAAGATGTTTACATGTGCTTGTGCGATCTCTTAACATAACATTTTATAAATATTTCTTACCGGATTTTTGAAATAAGTTCTAGTTTTAGGGTGTATTTCAGAAGATAGGTTTCGCACGAAGTATAATCGGTAGAACGGGATTATATCTCTATTCGAAAAATTAGGAAGAAATATTTTTAAAAATTTAAAGCAGAAAGTACCGATGAGCTAATTAAAAACTTCTCGTTTTTCTAAATGTTTCTGCGACGATATAGAAGATGCGTGAAAAATATCGTGTTATTTTGTTCAGATTATATCGTACTATTTGAAAGAGAAAGATATACTATCATTTTGAAAAAATAATACATTGATTTTAAAGTTTCTTTTCTTTCCGTTTTTGTAGAAAATATTTCCTTTTTTAATCAGAAACAACTTAAGAAGAAAAACGAGAAGGGAAAATAAACAAAATATGTGCTTGAACATCAACTTATCTTTTTCGAATCTTGGAAAAGAAGATGAAGATGAAAAGAAAAGAAGGTGTAAAACTGACGAGTGATATCAATAGCAAGAGCGAATACAGTGGTTCACAGCAAATACAGATTCCATGCAAGGGAAAAGGAGAAAAAATAAAGGTAGAAACGGAACCGCTGCTTCGACGATGTCACGCGCGTTTACGTGGAGCGTTGCATCTTATCTCATGCCCCAGTTACATCATAGCACACAGTTTTCTGGTTCTTACACAATTCCGATCGGAAGGAACTAACAATAAGTGTCGATGATCAATTCGTGATTCACTAATGAAACTACGAAAATTTATTTTATGGCGTATAATTACAGTAAATTTTCTAACTTCAGAATGTTTCAGAATTAGTTAAATTGTAATGACGGAACGAGTACCAATGGGGGGCAGTGGTTTACTCCTGAAAGGAAAAGATATCTTTAATAATTTCTTAATACATTTTACTTTTTAATTTGTTATTGTTGTATACCTGCAAACTTCATGAAAAATTTGTCTGACATGTTCGGAAATCTGTTTATAAGACGCAAGATCGGCAGCTTTATCCTGTTGCACAACATCCAATCTAGCTTTCAGCGCGAGGCATTCTTCTTGCAGTAGTTCCATTCTGTGTGTAATGGATGAAAAATCGTTAAATGTAATTTACACTGTAGATAAACGTCATGTATATTTGTCTTTATATTAATTACAAAAAATTACTTGAGCCGCATTTGTTCCATATTCATTAATTTATCAGTAGCTTTCAATAGTTTTGGTAATTTCGTTCTATATCCGGTATCGACTTTCACAATCCCTGCTCTTTCTGTTTCTAATTTTCGTACCTTTAATTCTAATTTTGCTGATCTGTTTTTCTCATTGCGTAATGTATTCTGCATATAATTTACGTAATTAAAAATTCAACAAAGGGATATAAAATAAAACAATGTTGCAGAAGACTCACAGAGAGTGCGTCAACGTCATTTCTTTCTTTATCTAGCCGCCTGTTGAGTACTGTTATTAACTGCAACAGTCTCTCCCTTTCAGCTTCAGCTGCAAGAGCTAAAGTTACGTACTCGTTAGGTTCACATATGTTTCGAACACTACAAGGAGAACTAGTGTCATTGAAATTATTTAAAAATACTTCCGGTTGTGTAATTTTTCGAGATTTAATCTCCAATATGTCCGGAATTGTTCCGTTTCTAAAATTAATAACGAACATTTATAAAAATCTACATGTCCAAAATTTTAATTAAGAGCAAAATACCTCAATTTATCTATCTCGATCTCTCGTTCCTCTAATCTTCTACGTAACCGATCAATCTGAAGTTGCGCCGACTGCAAGTCGTTCTTTAAATTCGTATACTCACGTTCGATCTTCTCTGTTCTATTTCTCATATCTACTTCGCGTTCTTCATGTTTTATTTCGGTTATTTTTAGCCGATTCTACAAATTTTATATTCATCATATACAACAGAAAAGAACAACTTCAATATCGTCGAATAGTTACGTTAAGTGTCTCGATTAAATGATTATCATGAGATCTCTTCTCATTTAATATCGCGATATTTCCTTTCGCGATATTCAACTCGTGTTCCAATACTTTTATTCTCGCTTTCGAAGCCTCTAACTTCCTCTTGTATCCTTCAACAGCAACTTCCGTTTGTCGAAGTTGTTTCGCTGAATCTTCAATTTGTCGTCGCCTCTCTTTTTCGACATTTCGAAGATTCGTAACATTTTTTTGTTCTACAGACACTAACATATATTTTATTAAGCAAAATCCACAAATTGGCAAATTTGATCTAATACCGGTAGACGACTTTTGCGTTCCTTCGTATTCCGACAGTCTTGATTGCAAATCCGTTATTTTTTGTTGTAATAGGTGAATCTGCTCTGCTCTCCCACGCCATCCAGATTGATTTGACAAATTATTCAAATTCACGTTTTCACCAATTTCACTGTATAATAACTATATTTACAACTGTAAAGACTGTTCCACCCTTCCTTCATTCTTATATAAAATTTACAATAAGATATCTAAACAAAATACCTTATGTAATTTATTAATCTCCATCTTAAGACTAACACAAGTATTTCTAGATTCATACAATTTTGTTTGAGTTTGCTGTACTTTTTCGAGTAGTTGTTTGTTTCGATCCTCGTCATCCTTCAACTGATTATTCTTGGTACCTTTCAAGGATACCATCCTATATCTCGATCATAATATAATGGAATGATGGAATAGTAAAAAGTAATTGTATAAGAATAGCATGTGAAATTAAAAAGTCTTGAATATAACTCACTCTCTTGAGAGGAGTCATTTTTTAAACGTCTCCTTTCATATCGTTCATTCTTCAATTCTGTTTCTCTGGCAGTTAAATGGATTTCGAGGTTTCTACACTTAGACTTAAGAACTTCGATCTCAGCTGTCTGTTCTCTACACCTCTTACTAAGTTCAATAATCTTTCCAGTTGCTAACTCATTAGGTTTTCCTAAAATCATTGATTGTACCGTTTCTGACACTCCTTGTCTTCTATGAATTTTTTCTTCTGCCTCTTCAAGCGCTCGACGCAAACAACCATTTTCAGCAATTAAATCCTATTATTTATTTTATATATTTAATTTAATTTTACAATTAAACCAATTTGTCCTTGAATTTAATACATCATTATTTAATAAAATATGATAAATTTATAATTTTATACATTGCATTTATTCCAATTACCTGAATCTGATTCCTCAAAAATAAATTTAATTCCTTCGGAAAAATAATGTGGTCGGGTAAATTCTCCTGAGATATATTAAGAATATCATTTTTCTTTACATTCATTTTAAAAATTTAACTATTTTATGAAATATTTATTATAAAAATTGAGAATAATACCTCTGTTAATTCTTTTAACCATGGAATCGTTGCTTTAAAATCTAAAGAATTGTTATCTTTATCTTGTACTGTTTTATACGCTATTTCTGATTTGGACATCTTTTGAGTCATTAAAATTTGTTTCTAACCTCCCTTTACTATTCTACAGTTCTTCGATTATAATATAGAGTATTAGAATCGCTATAAAAAATTATCACATTTGTTTATCTACCTATTTGCTGCAAATAAATTTTGAAATAATGTATTGTTATATAAATATGTGAAGTTGAACATTTGTTCTAATAAATATGTATCCAATTATATGATGATTTCATGTTCATAGCAGATTAATAACATAAATAAATTGTACAAATTTTATTAGATAAACTTTTTATCTATATTATCCAATATGTAATTTTTTACAATGAAAATTTTTTATTGATACATAAAAAACTTAATATTAAATGTTAAAATAGGGAATCAGTAAGTTGAAATTTAAACATTTATTTAAAATTAGTCCTATTGATTTAACAATTATGTTTTTATCGTTTTCATATTTTGTTTTCCTGTATTGCCTGTATGCTTCTGATAATTTCTATTCTTTCCACCTGCTAATTTGCCTGCTTTCTGTAGGGCATGTAATTTAAAATTTTTTGCAACACCTATCTTCTTGTTACTTCCAGAATATTGCACATTTATCCTTCTTCCATTAACAAATGAGTGATTCAGTGAAAGTGCTTTCTGTTAACATATACAATAATACGTAATTAAACATAAAAATGGTTAATTTTTAGAACTAACAAATTATTATACATAAAACATACCTCATAATCTGTATTATTAGCTAGTTCAATATAAGCAAATCCACGTGCTGTGTTTGCATCTTTCTTAGGAATCCTAATATCAATTATCTGACTTACTTTAGTCAAAAAATGTTTCTTAAGTTCTTCATTAGTAATACTACAATAAAAGAATGTAATTATTTAAATATAAAATATAAATTTAATGTAAAAAAAATTAATGTTCTTACTTAAATGGTAAATTTCCTACGAAAAGAACATATCTTTTCTTTTTGCTTTCTTCTTCTGTATTTATAAGTTTGCCTTTTTCCTTTTTATTATGCATGTTATTTCTTTTAACTTCATTGTCATTATCTTGTTGATTATTCTTATCTTCTTTATCATCAATGTCATCGTCATCGTCATCGTCATCGTCATCGTCATCGTCATCATCATCGTCGTCGTCGTCTTCATCGTCATCGTCGTCGTCGTCGTCGTCGTCGTCATCGTCGTCATTGTCGTCATCATCATCGTCGTCGTCGTCTTCATCGTCATCGTCGCCGTCGTCGTCATCATCATCGTCGTCGTCAACTTTTTCTACTTTGACTTTTACAGTACTTTCATCTCCATCTTCACTTACTTCATTATCCATCTCAACTTCTTTATCACCACCATCGTCTTCATTTTTTTGTTTTGAGAGTAAAATCTTATTCTGTTTAACATCCTTTTTTTTATTTTCCTTATTTAATTTAGTTTCTAGTTTCCCTTGCAATATTTTTTTTTGTTCATCATTTTGTATTTGTCTTTTCTTTCTACCTTCTAATGATATTTCATTTATTACTTTCCCCACCTGTTTTTTTGTAATTTGTTTTGGCTTATCAATTCCTTCATTTACTCTTAACTTTTTTTTAAGTGCTCCTAATTTTCGCTTAGCAGTTTTTGTGAGTTTTTCTCGACCTTCTAATAATTGAACTTTTTCTTTTATTTGATCAACAGTTAAATTAAGTGCTACTCCATAACGTTTTAAACGCCTATTCACTTTACGTTTTTTACGATATTCTTGTCTCGTTCTTAACAATTTCAACTTTTCTCCTTCTTTTAATATTTCCTTTTTATTTTTTTGTGGACTAACATCAATTGTTTCTTTCTTAATAAAACTTTGAACAGCTTTTGAATCATTATCTTTCTTCTTCTGATTTTTAAATTTTTTTTCTGCATCCTTTTTAACCTGTTTATTTGTTTGTTCTTTTTGTGTAGTTCCATTCACTGTTCTCATTTTTTTAACATCTTTTTTCAAATTTCCTAATACCTCAGTTTTCTGTAAGATTGCTTCAGCCTCGCTTATTGATCGTTTTTTAATATTTTTAACCATATTTGCTTTAGCCATTATTGTTCTATGTAATATAGATAGTGATTTACTATAGCTAAAAAATAAAACAAATTTTAAATACAATCATAATTTGTGAATAAAATAACTTAGAAGTTAAATATAATAAGACACGATGAAAAATCTGGATGTCGTTTCGGCATGTTAAATATAACTTATTGAATATACTTAAAACTAAATTTATTTTCTAGACATTTTAATACAAATATATTATTTTATATTTCATATTACTATAATATAAATTATATATAAAATTAAACACATAATTACTATTGAAATCGGAATTAGTGCTATAAATCTATTTTATTTTTATATTTATTTCAATTATCTAGACCTTAGTACAATTAATAGTAATTAATAATTATTATGTTTAGAATAATATATTAAATTAATAAACATTTTGTTAATGATATAAAAGTAAATCGATATACCGTTTTAAACGTGGTTACACATGAAGTTTTGGAGGTTAATTTCAATGTGTGTCTCTCGTGTTTCTGCGGAAAGGTGTACAGTTTAGATTTTGACTTATTGTGATTACGCATGCGTACTTATTTTCTATTATATTTTTGTAATATATTTCGATATTCTGTTCCTAAATTATATATATTTCACAAAAATTATACAAATACGATGTTTTAAAGTACAAATTAAAATATATAATGTCTAATTAAATAATATGTAATTAGGTAAAATAATATATTGTAGTGAACGTCACTTCCGTTATATAGAAAGGTTCACTTTTATGCAATTTTCATATAAATATCAAAAATACTTACTTCCAAGTTATCAATACTATGATTAAAATAAATAAATAGTATTTTTACATAAATAATATAATTAGTAATGTAATCATTATATGTATTCAAAGTATATACAAACTAATATCTAAATATGGCGCCATTTATAAAAATACAATTGTCTGTTTTTCAATTTTATTATTTTAATAGCAGAAAATTTCAATTAATGAATTTTTAAAAACAGGATATATAATTATCGCATAATACATTTATTAGGCAGTTTACATTATAACTTTTATATTAGCTAGTTGAAAATATTTGATTGCCTGAAAATAAATTATGATTTTTAAACATAATATTTAAAATTATATATCTACGCCAAAAATTGCAATTACAGTTTACAAATACAAGCGATTTTATTCTATTATTATGAAAATCCGAGATTCCAAAATTTATTATTTATATTATACAAGGTTTTCTATTATAAAAGGTGAATTAATGTTATATTTTGTATTTAATCATTGTATCTCTATTAATCAATAGTTGTATTTTTTATTTAATTAATATTTCACACAGTTTTTGTAGTTTTACATCTTGATTTACTCAATAATATATCTATAGAATTCTAGAGATATAAAAATTACTGAAAACCACAATTCTTTTACGCACAACCTACTAATCTCTTAACATATTACTTTTATGTAAAGTTTTTATTCATATTCAAGGAATATAAGATGTATGTACCTATGTACATAGACATACACGTCTATGTACACGTGTATATAAATCAGAAACTTTAATTCAAATTGATACATTAATAGTTAATTAATTAAATATAACAAAATATAATGTACTATATTTATAGTCAATAATGTTATTTTCTTAAAGTAGAAGCATATAACATACATGGAAGACATTTAATAGTTTTCAAATAATTACAGTATATAATAAAATATTCATAAATAGTGTAAATGCAACCTATCTTGTATTTTTTCTTATTAAGCATGTGTTTGACTTGATTTAGTATGTGTCACATATACAGTAACTTAATATCTTGTTTTTTATCAAATAAGTATTATAAAAATTTAATACAATGAGTTACATGTAGTTATTAAGAATTATTTACAATTACAAAGTTTGTTGTTATATTAGTATCTTTATTTCTGTATTAAAAAATATAAAAGAAAGCGTAATAATTAATTAAGACTATGAAATCAATGAATAATTTAGTTACATAGTATATTAAAAACTTATTATTTGCTCTAAGTATCTTTTTAACATAATTTTATAAAACGATTCAGTTCAATTAAGCATTTATCTTTTAAATACATTTAGTACTTCATACAAAATTCGCAAGTTTATAAAACCGGAAAAGCATTGTACAATAAGATCATATAAAAAATTAAAAATTGATGGGTATATCTAATAAATTTTTAAGCATTTTTACAATCTGAAAACAAATATTTATGCCATCATATAAAAAAAGCAGTGTATGTATAAATAAGACAGTTGTTCATTTTCTTTGCATTATAATATGTAAAATTTATAAATAAAAAAATTTGTACAGAAAAATATATTAATTACTTACAATTAACTATGTTATTAAACATTTGGATTACAAATTTGTATAAAAGTTCTTTAAGGAAAAGTAATGAAATGCAATAAGAGAATTTTCTCATTTCACAGTAACTACCAAAAGTTTAGTGAAAATGATAGTAATACAATAATGATTGCAATCCATAACACCTAATACGAATAAGCAAACCTTTTTTTATATTTGAATACAATATTATTGTAAATTTTTGGATAAAATATGCCAAATTTTATCTTTTATTATTATAATTATTATTTTATAGTGTCAAAATAATACCTAAGGCTACTAATTTTGCACAAAAAATTTGTTGAAGTTCAATTGTCACATTTGAAAATATTTCATAAATTGTTAATAAAGTCTATTATTTTCATCTCTTTAGATGAGGTCTTATAATTTTTTGTCAAACATAGTATATTCTTGTATTGTAATCCTCATGTATCAAGATGAATCAACATTACAAACTGCTAAATATCATTTGTCATTTTCTCCAGATGTAAGATATTTACATACAACAAATTAGTATGTCTAATCAGCTTTTCGTGGCTTACGTTTACGAACATTTGGACTACTTGGTTCAGTTTTAGAATCTTCATCTGCATCTTTTTCTTTTTCTTCTCCTTCTGATTCATCTTGTTCAGATTCTTCATCTACTAAGTCATCCTTAACATGTTCAACAATTTCTTCATCTTGTATACTTTTTTCTTGCATAAACCCACCTGATCCTTCCTTTTCTTTCATTTTATCTTGAAGCATCACAGGTTTTGGTGGATATATACAATCGATCAAGCAAACAACAAACTACAAGGTAAATATAATAATTAATTGTAATTAAAATGATTGAATTCCATTACTTAAGCTTACCAATCCCAATGTTGCACCTACAACAATAGTAACAATGGCAAAAATCAAATAACATGCCCATGTAGGTAATCCAAAATCTTCCATGAGTCTATTATGTATTCCCTATAAAAATAACTAAATTGTTTTATAATGAATTTAAAATTGAGACTAATATTATTAATTTTAATTACAATCTTTACCCGCAACACTTGTGATAGTTTAAAAAATTTACTAATAACAGACATTTGAACCGAAGCTGGACTCTTCCAACTAGGAATTGGTTCAATCATTTCCCAAGTATTTTCGGATACAAATTCAATTAATGAATCTTTATCCCTAGGACTCTTATACTGTCTAAATATGCCATCCTTAACGCTAAAGAAAATATTAAAATGTTATAGAAAATATCAAAAATTTTCAATCATAGTATTCTTCTTATAATATATAAATGCTTACTGATATATTGTTGGTAAAGCTGTAACCATAAATCTCCCACTAAGTCCTGGAGAATCAGTTACGTCAACTTTTCCTACATTGATATTTAGATCCTTCTTTTGTGAAGCAAGATGTTCCCAAACTGGTTCCAATGCTTTACAAGCAGGACACCATGGTGCATAACTAAATTACAAAATAATAAAGTTATATCTACACATTAATTAATAATATCCATATATATTATTAAAATTTCCAACAAATTTCTTTTAATTTTCCGATATTTTCATCATACTTTCAATAAATTGAACTTATTAACCTCATACAATTTTAGATAAAATATCAAAATATATACAAATATTTTTAACAGAATTCTCGATTCGCCATCAAATTTAACGACATTGAACCAATTCAACTCACAATACCACCATCCATTCTCCGATTAGCATACGATCCCAGTTTTCTTCAGTAAGTTGTTCCACGAAAGTATTTTTTAATGATATCTGAGCACTTGCATTTACAAGACTCAAAAATAAGCAACAGTGCGTGATATAAAATGAAAAACTGAATTTAGTGTACGACATTTTATTTTAACTAATATCCACCGGTACCGTAGATACACGCTACCGGTTATTGGAAGAAACGCAAGCCTAATTCACTATAGTTGGCAACTAAGTAAAGTATCATTCATGATATAGAGGCACTGTATATTTAATACCCTAGAAATAAATGATAATTATAATTCATTTTTTAAATTTATTTGGAACTCTATTTTAATACAACAGATAAATAATTCTTTTATTGAATTGTTTTAATTGAAAATGTTATGTAAAAATAAATGTTAAAGTTAACATCACGATATCTTTTTTATAACAAAGTAATATTTTTAACCATACTTTTCCAACATAAAGTTTTATTTGATTAATTATCACACATTTTAAAACAAAATCTATACTTATAAAAAATAAAGATTGCATATTTTAACTTTGTAATATAAAAAGATCTAGTGACATCAATTAATTATTAATAATCTTCAATACATTTTATATGTAATTTTCGTATATTATTTATGTACATTATAATGTTCGATAGATTAATATCATTGTGTTTTCTAATAATAAGAAATATTTCAAATTATTAATCTTAATGTTAATGTTCAATGTGAGTAATCCTTAAATGCTTCTCTTGCATTAATCTCATATGACAACATTATAAAATTTAGTGAATATATTTTATTTGTTGTTGTTTGAAACTAACATTTGGAACACTTGCAAAAGTACATAAACTTTGTTTAACAAATAATAATTAATATAAAATAACAAACAATTTAAATACATCTTTTGAACTTTTATTAATTTTCCTGTATTCTAACTAATTTTATTCTTTTATTTTTTTATTTCACTAAATTTATTTTTATCGTATATTTACAAATAAATATAATGATAAATATTAATTCTTTTATTTCTCATTTAAAATTTGTAAATAACAATGTGTATTATCAATATGTATTATTAATATTTATTTTATAATCTTATTAACTGTTTAAAAATTAATTATTGTTCTGATAATATACTTTATAAACTATGTTTTAAGAACATAAATATCTTATAGGTAAAAGGTATGTCTGCTGTTTATCCAATTTTGCCTAAATTGGTTGAACGAGATGGTTTTGATGATGAAGACTTAACAGATATTGATGATGAAGTATTCATTAGAGATGGAAAAAATGGCGTAAAATTAGATGATGATGGTGTAGTTAAACGACCTTTAATGGCACCTCGTAGAAAATGTAAAAAGTTACATAATTTGGAAACATATAGTTTTTCAAACAAAGCTGGTTTTGGATTTATAGCATTAATATTATTATTAAGTTTAATTGTATTATGTATATATATTGTAAATATAATTCCTGGACCAATATCAATCTTAAAGAATTGGTTATCACATGATCTTAAAGATTCATTACGTGAGTCCAATATTGTTCCATGCACATCTCTAAAACCTAAAATTTTATGGACCAGATCATTACCAAAATTAATATCCGAATCTCCAATAAGAAGCAATGATGTTAATGGTGATGGTGTTGAAGATATTATCATTGGATTTAGTACAGGTTCTTATCTATAAACATTTATTTTATCTTAATTTTGTTTAATAATTTTTAATACCTTTTAGTAATATTATAAGTTGAGCATATTTATATTTTAATTTGCAGGTTTTAAGTTTATAGTTTTATGTTTTTGCTGAATATTTCAGTTTATGAGGTACATAATTTGTGACATATTTAGTTATGATATTTAATACTTAATTATATTAAAACAATAATATATTTTAATACACAGGATTAGATGTGAAGAACATTCCAGAATATATTTGTGCATTATATTTTGATGGACAAGTTCCATGTTTTGGAGGAGTTTTAGCTTTAAATGGTAAAACAGGAGATACCCTTTGGATACATTGGACAACGCATGCAATTTTTTCTGTTGACTGTGGTTTAGATTTAACAAATGACAAAATTAATGATTGTATTATATGTGGTCGAGGTGGAATACTACATGCAATTAATGGCTATAATGGAGCTAGTATATGGGAAATACCAGTTCGTGATTTATCAATTTCAGAAGAATGGAAATTTTCAGATATTTATGACGCTAAATTTATTGCTGATATTGATGAAGATAACATCGGTGATATTATTGCATCACATACTATTCAATCAAGGGAAATTCATACAAGTGAAATTCTTATAATATCAGGAATTAGTGGAAATATTATACATAGTTCAGTTTTACCAAATACAGAGCAACTCTTTTTAGCACCTCAGAAATTAGTTCATCCAGATGGAGAAAGTATTTTTGTTCTCGTAACAAGCAGTCAAAAAAAATCAAGTGGATTGTATGTAATTCCTCAGGTGAATTTAATGTATGGTAATTTGGTAAGTTTCATTACTAATTTAAAGATAATGTGAAAATTGGTATTATGTCATATTATATTATAACACTATGTATGTGTGTTATAGAAATTACGGAAATTACACCATGACACAGGGAGAGGAAACTTACTACCTCCAATTTTGGTAGATGTAACATTAGATGGAATTGAGGATATTGTTGCTGCTATGTTTAATTCTACAATAATAGTTTATAATGGATTAACCTTCGAACCTATTTGGAATTATACAGTACCTAATTCTGAAATAATAAGTATACCTATTCCTGGTTACTACAATGATGATAATATTCCTGATTTTATGGTAAAACATCAAATAGGTTCAGGTTTCCCAACATACTACTACACAGTTGCAACAATTATAGATGGAAAAACTGGTGAATCTTTGTTAGAAAAACCAATAGAAGATAGCTTAAGTAGAGAAATGTCTGGTTTATCTGTAACTGTTGAAGGATTTGGAAATGATTGGTTCTTATATTGGTCTGTTAATTGTTTAAATTATGAAGGAATCAAAGAAAAATATCAGTTTCTAGAAAATGAAGATTTTATATCTGAATCACATACTGATCTCTGTAAATTACGGTTTAACTCTACTCTAATTACAAATTTATATGCATTAAGTCAACATGTTGGACCACCTGGTGTATCATTATATTTTTCTGAAGACTGGAAGTCTTTAGAATATAATAATTCCATGAGTCCTAGAATAGAGCTACATGAAAAAACACCTTTTGTATCTGAACAATCTACAAAAATTTATCAAGGTGAAAATAAAGAAAGCACCTCTAAACAAACGCAAAAAGATTCATATGAAACATACAAACAGTATACAGAATATAAAAACTTTGCTCCTATTAATAGTCAAATTGATGTTTTAAAAAAAGGAAGTAAATGGAACCAAAAAAATGTACAAATAGGTAAAGATTATGAGATGTTATATGATGAAAGTAATAAAATTAATGTACAAGAAGAACAACCAATAGATTATCAACGAAAAGATGAAATACGAGAAGAGAGAAGTAATATTAATTATAAATTTATTAATCAATTTGATAAGAGAGTAAATGATTCTGTAAAAGTTATGCTTAATGATAAAATGAATATTACTAGTAAAACATTTGAAACCTTTAATAACAATATAGATCTACACACTCAAAATAATGGGAATACTGATAAGGAAACAATATTACATAAAAGAACAATTAATTTGATGCAATATGATATAAACAAAACAAAAAGAGAAACTGGTCAAGCTTTTATGGTAAGATTTTAATTTGTAATAAAATTATTACATAAACATTTTATTGGAAAAGAATGGAAAGAAATTATTCATTCTTTTTTTTTAAGGATTTAAAACCCATCATTAATGAATTTTTTAATATTACATCAAAAGAAGAGGAAACTGCTGTAATAAAATCATTAAAAAACTTAAGTAGAAAGGAAAATGTGAAACGAAAATTGGTATTGGAATATAAATTTGGAACTAAATTAAAAACACAAAGAGAAAAACGAGAAATAAAAATAAAAAATAATCAGATATATTCAGTACGTGGTGTACAAAAGCAACCACCAACTGGAATATTATTACCCTCTATCTTAAAATCAAAAGGAGTAACTTCTGTAGATTTAGTATTTTCTACATTTTGGTTACCATCCTCAGAAATACCTGTAATATTAGTTCAAGAAGACTTAAATTGTATTCATTGGAAAAAAATGTTGTCAGAAAAAAATTTACAATATAAGCAAAATGATGACATTATTAAGGAATGTTTAAATGAACGGGGCATTAATTATAAGATATATCAAGAACAGAATAATAAGGAAAATTTTAAAATTTCTCTTGGACAAATGAAAATATATAGAATGAAATTAGAATGCACATGTCCAGATGATATGTTACCTAATCAAAGTTGCAAAAATATATCCATGCATCAGAGTTGGTCTGAATATCTAGGTTCACTTGGAAATGGATATTTTAAACCATTTTATAAAACAAATTTTTAAATAAGTTAATTATTTTGTTACATAAAAAATAAAAAGTGTATTTCTTTTTAAACGAATATATAAAATTTATTTCTAATATTAAATTTTAAACAATATTATAAGAAGAATTCTATATATAAACTACACTTATTTAATAATATAAGTTTAAATAGATACTCATTGAATAATGAGAAGTGTCATTTGAAAACATTAATTGAAATTATAATTTGGTACTAACTTTTTTAGGATATAATATTACTTATTAATAAAAACAATCTAATAAATATGTCAAATGATGTATTATCATAATATGTCTGTATGTATGTGTCTATAAATTATAAAGCTTATATATGTAGAAATTATAAGATTGTTAACTACCATGAAATTAATATGTTCATTATATTTTTTTTCCAAAATATTTAATTTACTGTTTAATGTAATCATACGGAAAGTAAATTATAAATTATATATATAATATTAGTGAAACATATATTACGATCAAGGTTTTATTGAAATTTATCGTAACAGTGCTTATTGCGAACATAGTAATAAACATAAACGTTACTATATCAATTAAAAATATTCCGAATTTAGTGTTTGGTCAATGTACATTTAATAACTAGACTTTCCTTAGCAACTGACATTATATACTTTCTGTTTAAGTTAATATTACGTTTTCTATATAAACTAATTAATCGAAATCAAAATATTGAAATATAGGTTATAAATGTTTAATTTTGAATATTATGCCCAGAAAATACTAAATTGTAAGTTATATATTTTATAATATAATTATTATTAATTATGTAATTATGATAATATAGTTATGTATAGAATCTTCATTCACTGCATGCAATAATAAATAAAAATCTTAAACATCTAATATAAAAAAAATTTGTTCAATTGTGAGTTTCTTGTGATATTACTTCTATCTCTTCTGTCATATAAATTATAGTAAATATTCATCAAAAAATTTACAGAATATATACAAAAATTTTGTGCCTATAAAAAGAAAATTTTTAAAACTGGAAACAATAATTTGATAATGAAACAAAGGATTGGATTGAAAAGTTTAAGCAAGTTAATATATCAAATATAATATGAAGTAATTAAAATAAATTAATATAATTACCCATTTACAGGTAAAGCATTTATATTGAGTAAAAACTCATGATTTTTATGCTTGTAATTGTGTTCTGTAATTGATAATTGACTGGCAATATACATAATTGTTTTTATCCCTAATACTTATAGAACAATGACTGGATATCATAAATCAACTAAACTTGAATATTATAATAGTTTTAAATATTTTTGTCGACCAATTGTACCATTTTTAGTATCAAAAGTACAAAATGTAAACATTCCAATTCATTTTAATCATAATATTCTAAGTGATATAGTGACAAATGCACAGAAACAATGTTATGTATTTTCACCTAAATCAGTACCATTTAGAAATATAGGAACTCAAACAGATTATCGAGATAGCGAATCACAAACTATTCCTTGGGAACCTCCATATAAAATTGAAACAGGTAAAATATAGTACATGTACTTAATGGTTCTTTTCCATTGATTAATATTATCTTTCCAGGACATTATCCTGAAGCATTATCAATAGCACACTTAACTTGGAATCATGGATTACAAATTGATATTCATGATTTAGAAATTATTAAAAGAATGAGAAAAAAAAAAGCATGGGAAGCAATTCTTCCACCTATGCATACATTAACTAATATAAAAAAGCGAACAGCTATAATAAATGCATTGGAAATAGATGAATGGGCATTTAGAGAATCAGTAAATACTTGATTAATAAAACATAGATATTAATTATTTTCCATTTTAAAAAAAGATGGATGATAAAGAAAAGTTTTCAATTTTAGGAAATTCAAGCAATAATGGATTATAGACTTGAATTAATGGATAAAATATCTGTATCACATGAACATGAGAAACAAAAAAGAATTCAAGGTCGTTTAGATAGATTGAAAAACAATTTATGTATGCATAGAAATAAAGAAGTAAATTCCATTAAACATAAACTAAGGCGAGAATTAAGAAAATTATATAAAAAACATCAACAGAGGTCTCAACCTTTTAAACACAATATTATTGAAGAACATGCTAACCCATCTTCTGAATTATATGCACCACAAATGCATTGTGGTGAACATCCTAAACAAAGGCATGAAGTAATAGAAAAAGAGTTATTAGGAGAAAGCTCTATTAAAAGTAAATATTAGTATATTATTAATAAATAATGTTACATTATAATTTTTTATATTATATATTTAAATTATTTTAGATATGACTGACATAAGTACATTACCAACTTGGCTTCCAACACATGAAGAACTGCGTCTAATAAAGCCAAAACCAAAATCAGATGAGCTCTGTATCAGAGCAACAAGATGGACAAAAGAAAAACTCAGTCAATTACATTGTGATTTGAAAGCAATTAGGTTAAGCACTGCAACTATTGAAGCACCAATACTATTAAAGCGCAAGTACAAATTACCATCTCTACCTCCTACACCATATAAATCAAGCACAGAAAATGCAATAACTATTCGTCTACATCAATTATCTATGCTTATTCAGAAAATAATCAGAGGAAGAGCTATTCAGTGCATGGTGCATAGTTATTAAATAAAATATTTTTATGAATTCAAATTTATATTTTAATGATTCTCTTTCTAGATGTTTGAAGGTCGCAATAGATGTAGAGAATTAATTGAAGAATTACAATCATCCCATGGATTAGAGGAACATAGTAAAAAACAGCATCAAAAAGAGAAAGGACGCACATTAGAATTACAACATTTACAAAGTGAAAAATTCATGCAAGAAGATCGTTTATGTGAAATTCTGAATTCCTTAGAAGGAATGACTATATCAGGAATGCTAGATTTTCTTAACAAAGTATAAATTATTCTGATTTCCTGTTATTAAAATTTCTTATATAATTTTTATAATATTTATTACTATTATATTTAAGGAATTAATAAGATTAGAAGATGAACGCCGAATACATGCTTTTGCGTTGTTAACTGAAAGAAAAAGAGCTATGAGAGAGGCAGCAGAAGCTGGAAGGCGCCAACTAGAATATAATCGCCGTAGAGAATTTGATGAAATGTTTAGACAAATTATAAAGGTTAACCAAGAATCTGTGGAAAGTTACTTAGAAGATATAATAAAGAAAGGCATTGAATGGGTTTCTGATGAAGCAGCTAAAGCATATATTTCGGACTTATGCAACAATGTAGATAATATATCAAAAGCTGCACAAAACAAGTATGAATAAAATTAATATTAAACAATTCGTTATAACTAATATACTTTATAACTTCCTATTTTTTAGTGCAACAAAATTAGCAGAAGAAGAAATGGTAGCTAATATGATCTACAATTTTGTATTGCCTAAAATAGAGAGAACTACAGTACGAAAAAATATAAAAGAAAAGCAACAAGCTTATTTGCAGACTGCACATGCTGTAATTTATAAAGAAATATTAAACTTACCACCTATTGAAGATAAACATTTATAGTGAACAAATGATGTCAAATATTACATTTTAGAACACTTTATTTATAATTTTTTGTTATTTAATATTATAGTACATTATTTTAATTAGAAATGCAATTAACAACACGTATTACATTATAAATTACAGAAATGAAATTAAAATCGACACGAGTAACTATTTCAAGGAGTATGAAAATAATTGTGTACACATGTATACATAAAATAGACATATACAAATATGATTATGTGCACATGGTATATTTTTTTTATTAATAGTTTATGATCATTAATTTCACATGAAGTCTAACATAATATGCTTACCAATATTAAATAAAATTATTTCCGTAAGTGGGAAAATTATTATAAATAAGTAATAAATAAATAAATGAATAAGTAATTATTATAAATTAGTTTGTAGTTAATTTCTACCTTAATACTTACTTAATACCTATTTTTATTGTATAACCAAAATTTTACTTATTTATGAGAAAGATAAATCAGATTTCTGTATTCAATTATGTTTTAATGTATTTATTGATCGCATTTTAAATTTATACAATAATTTAATATACAATCCATTATATTTATCCACATATTTTTCTTCAATAGACCTGCACTCTAATGGTAAAAAACATGACATTTTGTCTCGTGTTTATGTTTAAATTAAAGAATTTAGGTTTTCTTTACTGGTTAAACACAATATAGATTTAAAATGAAACATTTATTTTATTTTGCATACTATCCTTCCTATTAAATATTTAACTACCATATTTTCAAATAACTTCAAATTATAGTGTAAAAGCAGCTACATAGATTTGATTTAAATATGTAAAAAGCTTAAACATTTAAATTCATTTAGTTATAACATAAAAAATGCAAAATACACATAGAATAATAATTTTGTTTTTGATATACAACCTCATTATATACAAATAGTAAATTAATGTGAAGTTGATGGATATGCTTCTATAGCATTACCTGCAAGAAGATCTGTCATAAATTTTTTAAATTTGACATCTTTTGCATCATTAGATGATATTCTTTCTACTATTAATTTACGTTTTTTTGCTTGCAGTTCTTTTGTTTGTAATGAATCAGTTTCTCGTTGATTAATCATATCTATATGTTTTCTTTTACAAGTTTCTATAGAATCAGGTTTTTGAGTTTCTTCCCTTGCACGACTTAATTCAGCTGTTAAATCAACCATCTTTTGTTCCCATTCTTCAAGATGTTTTCTCATTTCAGCTAATTGTGTATCTTGATCATGTATCTTTTTTGCCTGTTCTTGTAATTTTAAACTTTGCAATCTCATTTGAAAACCTTGTCGTTTCATTCGAAGTTTCATTTTACTAATTTGACCTTTCATGGATAGAACAGATAATTTATTTTTTTTAGTACGACTATAAATTTTCTTAAAAGTCTGATTTAATTTTTCTGAGCTAAAATTATGTGGCAGTGTGGCATTGTTTGAACTTGTAGTATGATGAGAAATCATTAAACTTCCACTTGGCAATTCATAAGAACCTACATTACTAACAACTGAGGTACAAATACTGTGTTTTAAATCTGGTAAAATTTTTTCATCAAAATGTTCCATAGCCATGCTACTAATATCTCTTAATTCCTGAAGTATTTCATGAGCTCTAGGTGGAGTTTTAGAATCTCGAATCAAACGAAGAACTCGAAAAATTTCATCAATTACCTGATGTGTAAATACATATTAATTTAACACATATTAAAATATTATGGAACTATTGATACCCTACCTTTCCAGGTATGAAACAACATAGATTAAGATCCACATATTTTATAAAGGTCATAGACAACATTGATATTCTTGTTTCAATTGCTGTTAATATATCACAATGACGCGCTAAAGGATGGCTCCTTCTTTCCGATTCTCTTCGTGGTAATTGACTTTTTACCGCACGCAAACATTGTGCATGATATTTTTCCATTAAATTAAAACCTCGATTTAATAATTTCTTGCATATTCGATCAAATTGCTTACAAACCTGTTAAATCACAATTTTGATAGAACTTCGTACATAATATCAAACAAATAATTAGTGCTATACAAGAAGAAAAGATACTCTTACAATTCTATATCGAGAAATTTCATCGTACGTAAGGTTAGACAAGATTGTCTCTAAAACAATGTCAGGGAGGTTTATTAGTTGCAACATATCACTGTTTTTGTTCTACAATTAGATTCTTAACACTTTCACTCTAGTGAAATTTTTTAAATAATATTAAATTATAACTTTTTTTAAGACAATGCAATAATGTAAAAATGGTGCAACTTTAACTATGGTGCATATAATTGCGATTACAATGTTTTGACCGACCGATGACCTATAAACAAATATAGCTATTGCACATGTATCTGTTTACAACGCAGTTTACTATCTATATTCTTGCGACTTAGCAAACTTCTTGGTTTCCCTTCTAATTGTTGTATAGTTAATGGCCGGATATAACGCATATCAGTTTTGGCTGCCATATTGTTGTGTCACGTGACGAGGGAGTAGCGAGGTGAATGCGCCGGGTCGAATTCGTGACGAAGAGTTAAAAATTTGGACACCATCATCTACCAGGAAACCAATTACAAGATGGATGTACGAAAAGTGACAGAATTATTACGAGCCACGATCGACCCAGAGCAACAAAAGCAAGCTGAAGAGCAGCTAAATCAGGTCGGTCAACGAATTGAAAACGTGCTTGAATGACCGATACTCCAACAGAAACATGTGCTTCATCGCTATCATTTTCCTTGATTATTATTCATCTTTTATATTTCCTTGATTATTATTCATCTATTTATATATATACATAATTGATTCTTTCAAAAAAGATTGGTCAAAATAAAATTTTTTACTCTTATTAGAGCTAACATTTTGATTCTTTTATTAACTTCAGTTTTCGAGAACGACCTTTAACCATATTTATAATTGTATAAATTCAGTTCTTTATTCTTAATGGTTTTTTATATGTTCTTTTATTAAACAATATAGACAGATTTTTAACAATCGGAAGCTGTTTTATTATCCATCAATATATTACAATAGAAAATATTTATTAAACGTTCTTCCTTATATATAACATACTTTCAATTTATTATGATTTAATATTACTACTTGTTAGTTGCTTATTTATATACTATTTATATACTATTAAATATATCAATTATAATGTTAATATATAATATATACAATATTACATACATTAAATCACAAAAAAATTAATGTTAATTTATATATTTTATTATAAAAAAATATATTATAATTTAATAAAAATAGTTGTGGAAAATTTGATTAGATTTATAATAATAAGAACACTTTTAGATTCACAAAATTATTGGTTTTGCACCAACATTACTTCAAGTACTAATGACTGCAGAAGAAATGTCTGTACGACAAGCTGGTAAATAATGAAAATAATTGTTATAAATAAAGATAAGAATTAATTAATAAGGATTTAATGTCAATTCAGGTGTTATATATTTGAAGAATTTAATTACAACAAATTGGGCTGATAGAGAAAATGAAAATGGGTCAGTTAAGTTTACCATTCATGAACAAGATCGTGCAATGATTCGAGATGCAATTGTTGATGCCCTTGTACATGCACCAGATCTTATCAGGTAAATTATTTTTTTGAAACACATCTTCAATCATAATAACTAAGTGATATATTAAATATTATTTTTTTACTAATAATTTTAATAAATTGATATTTCTGTTGATTTAGAGTACAATTGGCTGTTTGTGTTAATAATATAGTAAAACATGATTTTCCTGGAAGGTGGACACAAATAGTGGACAAAATCACAATATATTTACAAAATTCAGATGTTTCTTGTTGGCCAGGTGTTCTTCTTGCACTTCATCAACTTGTTAAAAATTTTGAGTATGTCATTAATATTTCTTATTTTATATTATTAAGAAGAAAAGGATGTGAATTAAATATAAAGAATGACACATTGTACATATTCCAAATTATAGTGATAATAGAAATATTTATTGATGTTTTTTAGATATAAAAAAGCAGAAGAAAGAGGACCATTAAATGAAGCAATGAATCTTTTGCTTCCTATGATTTATCAACTGATACTCGGACTATTGCCAGATTCTTCAGAACAATCAGTATTGCTACAAAAGCAGATATTGAAGATATTTTTTGCCCTTACACAGGTATACAAATTTTAAAGATATTTATTTATATTAAAGTGCTTAATCACTATTTTAAATTTTATTGTAATTTATAATTCCTTTTTTAGTATACACTTCCTTTAGATTTGATTTCAAAAGAAGTTTTTTCACAATGGATGGATATTGTACGACAAGTTGCCGATAGACCTGTTCCGCCTGAAACTAATAATCCAGATTTGGATGATGATGAACGAGCAGAATTGCCATGGTGGAAATGTAAAAAATGGGCTCTTCATATTTTACGCAGAATGTTTGAAAGATATGGAAGTCCTGGCAATGTAACTCAAGAATACAAAGAGTTTTCTGGGTGGTACTTAAGAACTTTTAGTGGAGGAATACTTGAAGTTTTGTTAAAAATTTTGGACCAATATCGAAGAAAGATATATGTATCACCTAGAGTGATTCAACAATCAATTAATTATATTAATCAAGGGTAAGCAATAAAATAAATTGATTTAAATATTTAAGTTGCAGTTTAGTGTATTTCGATCTTAATAAAATTAAAATTAAAATTTATTTGCTTCTAATTTTAAAACTAATGTAATTGTATATTATTGTTACCTTCAATTTAAAATTTCTATTTATATTCTATAAGGTTTAAAAATTTTCTGTTGCAATGTAGAGTAAGCCACGCATATTCATGGAAGTTCTTAAAACCACACATGTTTGAGATAATTCGTGATGTACTCTTCCCAATTCTATCATATTCTGCTGCAGATGAAGAACTTTGGAATAATAATCCATATGAATACATTAGAGTCAAATTTGGTGAGATTTTCCATTTAAAATTAAAGCATATCATTTCTGTTTGTATAGTATATTTTATTTTATGTTACTTTATTTTAATAAATCAATTTATTGCTTTATAGACATATTTGAAGACTTTGTATCTCCAGTAACTGCAGCACAAACTCTGTTATATTCTGCATGTAAAAAACGTAAAGATATGCTTCAGGAAACTATGCAATTCTGTATGGAAGTACTAACTAGTCCAAATGCAGACCCCAGGCAAAAGGATGGCGCATTGCATATGGTAGTTACAATTGTAGATAAATATTTTATCAATAAAAAATAGAACATTTTTTAAAAACTAATTTTCTTTAGGTGGGAAGTTTAGCAGAAGTATTATTAAAGAAAAAGGTTTATAAGGAACAAATGGACAAAATGTTATTGCAATACGTTTTCCCTGAATTTAATAGTCCTCATGGACATATGCGGGCAAGGGTAAGTGATGCATACATTAATAGTTATTAAAATTTTATTAATTACTTGATTTATAATTCTTTTATAATTACTATATTTTAGGCATGTTGGGTATTGCATTATTTCTCGGAAATCAAATTTAAGCAAGAACAAATATTAGTTGAAGCTGTTCGATTGACGACGAATGCTCTTCTGACGGACCAAGATCTACCAGTTAAGGTAGAAGCGGCTATTGCTTTGCAGATGCTTCTTTCTGCTCAAGAAAAAGCACAAAAATATGTAGAACCCCTAATCAAGCCTATAACCCTTGAATTATTAGCTATTGTACGAGAAACTGAAAATGATGATTTAACAACCGTTATTCAAAAAATTGTTTATACATACTCAGAGCAGCTCATGCCAATCGCGGTTGAGATATGTCAACATCTAGTAAGTATTATTTCTTTGTTTCATGTCCTCATAAAATGAAACGAGATACTAAAAAAAATTTTATTAATATTTACAGGCTGCAACTTTTAGCCAAGTGCTCGAAACAGATGAAGGCAGTGATGAGAAAGCTATTACTGCCATGGGATTGTTAAATACAATAGAGACTTTATTGAGTGTAATGGAAAATCAACCACAAATAATGGCACAGTTACAACCAATAGTGCTTCAAGTTGTTGCCCATATATTTGGAGAAAGTGTCATGGGTAAGATAAATAATGATCATAATGTATTACTAAAAATATTGATAATGCTTTTTTGTATTTTAGAATTCTATGAAGAAGCTCTTTCATTAGTTTATGATCTTACTGGGAAAACAATTTCAGGAGATATGTGGAAAGTCTTGGAATTAATGTATCAATTATTCCAGAAAGATGGCTTTGAATATTTCACTGATATGATGCCTGCTCTTCACAATTACATTACAGTTGACACTCCAGCATTCTTATCTAATGAAAACCATATATTAGCTATGTTCAATATGTGCAAAGCTGTATGTTTATTATATTTTGTATAAAAATGAAAAAAAAAAAATATAATGAAAATTGATTTTTTATTTTTAAATACCAGGTATTAACAGGGGATGCTGGAGAAGATCCTGAATGTCATGCTGCCAAATTATTGGAAGTTATTATTCTGCAGTGTAAAGGACACATTGATCAGGTAAACTATTTTTATTACTATGTTTTGATGTGTGCTTTGATTTTCAAGCTTACTTAATAAAAATTTAACAAATTGTACATAAAAGATTATTCTTTTAGTGTATACCTTCGTTCGTGCAATTGGTACTGGAACGTTTGATGCGTGAAGTTAAAACATCGGAGTTAAGAACAATGTGTTTACAAGTAGTAATTGCAGCTCTTTATTATAATCCAGCACTATGTCTTGAAACAATGGGTAGATTACAAGGAAATTTTAGACAGTCAACGGAACCAATTGCCTCACATTTTATCAAACAATGGATACATGATACTGATTGCTTCTTAGGGTAAATTATTTTAATTTCTTGATAATAATAACTTTTTTATTTTATGATTGAATAAAATTAATTGACACATTTTTATAAATACAATATTTTTATTATTTAGATTACATGACAGAAAGCTCTGTGTTCTTGGACTGTGTACTTTAATTAGTATGGGTCCAGCAAGACCACCAGCGGTAAATGAATGCGCTCAACAAATTATTCCATCTCTGATTTTACTTTTTGATGGACTGAAAAGAGCTTATGCAGCTAAAGCATCTGATACTGATGATGAAGAGAATGAGGAAGATGATAGTGATATTGATGAAGGTAGTAATTTTCATATATACTTCTATATTTATCCTCGTTCGTTTTTATTTTACATTTAGAAAATTAATTACATTATATTTGTGCAGAGGTCCTATCATCTGATGAAGACGAAATCGATGATGCTAGTCAAGAATATTTGGAAAAATTACAGGAAAAGGTGACACGATCATCTACACAACATGGCTTTGTATCAGCTTCAATTCAAGATGGACATGGCGATCACAGATCAGATGATGATGGTGATGATTCTGAATATGATGCCAATGAGGAAACTCCACTTGAATGCTATGCTACACCTTTGGATTCAGATGATATGAATCAAGATGAGTATGTTGTTTTCAAAGAAGTAATGCAAAGTGAGTAATTGCTATGTTTTATAATTTAAAGATGTCTGAAATCATTTTTATTAAATGATGAATGTTCTATTACATGAAGCACTTAAATTGTTTTTTATTTTCAGATATTGAAAGAACAGACACTGTCTGGTATACAGCATTAACTGTTCATTTAACAGCAGAACAGCAGAAAGCATTGCAGGAAATTATCCTTTTAGCAGATCAGCGTAAAGCAGCTCTCGAAAGTAAAAGAATTGAACAGAGTGGTGGTGAGTTCTTTTAATCTTTTTAAAATTAATATAAATATATAAATTTGTTTTTATGAATGTATCAATATACTAAAATAATAAGTATTTAATACTTTTATTTCAGGTTACGCTTTTCATTCACAGACTGTACCTACATCGTTTAATTTTGGTGGAACGCTTTTGAGCCGATAGACTCCCGATCGTTTATATTTTTAGTTTAAGTAAGTAAATAAATTGCGAAGCATCCAAGTCGAGTATCCTTAACAATGCAATACATGTTCCCACTCCGTTAAAACCGAGTTACATAGAAATTAAATTGAAAATGAAAAAGCGTCCATTTTTGTTCGTTTCTCCACATTTTTCTGACTTTTCATGACTATAGCTCGGTACATACAACAATGGTAGCATCCTTTCGAGCGTTTGGAAATCCATTCCACGGTGGAATCTGCGGAGAAGCACGTTTCTTTTTATAAGATAATAAAACATAATTAATTCTCATAGTAAAGAAGTGCATCTAAAATTATTGAAAATAGTAATTTGTATTTTTTTATATAAAAAAATATTTTTGATCATTGTATATTTCGATTTCCAGATTCCAGAGAATATGTTCTAATCTCGATTTCCAAATCACTGTGCTTCTTTGCGGAGTTCATGCCAATCCATCGTTCAGCGCGATCGAATCTTTTTTTTTTTTTTTTTTTTTTTTTTTTTTAAAAAAAAAAAAAAAAAAAGGAAAAA